AATATTAGTATAGTGCAATAAAGAAGGAATTTGCAGAGTTTAGTGAAATAATGAATAAATGTGCAGAGTTGGGATAGTATAGAACCATAAGAAAGAAGTGCGTTCGGGTTGAAGCAATAGGAAATGTAAAAGCACAGGGTAGGGGGTAAACACTGAACATTGGGTAAGCATAAACACTGAGCACAGGGTAGGGGTAAACACTGAATACAAGTTAGGGGTAAACACTGAACACAGGGTGGGGGTAAACACTGAACATTGGGTAAGCATAAACACTGAACACAGGGTAGTGGTAAACACTGAATACAAGTTAGGGGTAAACACTGAACACAGGGTGGGGGTAAACACTGAACACGGGGTAGGGGGTAAACACTGAACACAGGGTAGGGGTTAACACTGAACACACTGTAGGGGTAAACCCTAAAAGAAAAAAAAAGAAAGACGAAGAAGCCGTTTTCAGCGAACAGAACAGTGCAAATAGAATTAAAAACCTTTGAAAAATAATAGAAACTTACCTTTTGGTAGTGTCCCAGAGATGAAGAAGTGCAAACACTGTCTATTGCAGACGGTGGGACTTAAATTCTTGCTTGCAGTCTTGAACATGCTAGGGGCAGGATTGGTGAAGTAGTAGAAATGGCCTCTTACGGTTTGCAGCCTCATTATCAGACGCTGTCAGCGCTGTGTGGACGGTACCGAAAAAAAGGAAAAGGTCCTCAGATGCATCATGTCTCACTCCTGGGGGAAAAATAACATACATAAATCCTTCTCCGTGATTTGAAGAGTTTTTTTTTTTCTTTAGGGAAACAAACTTACGTGGACTGCAAGCTTGTCGACATACAATGTAGAAGGGAGTCAAAATCATTTGGAAAGTATCCAGTGCAGCGTAAAGAGCTTCAGTGGCGTGCCGTGCAACTTTCTCAGCAGTGTGAAGAGGTTCATTGGCATGCCGTGCAACTTTCTCAGCGGTGTGAGGAGCTTCAGTGGAATGGCGTGCAACTTTCTCAGCAGTGTGAAGAGCTTCGGTGGAATGGCATGCAACTTTCTCAGCGGTGTGAAGAGCTTCAGTGGAATGGCGTGCAACTTTCTCAGCGGTGTGAAGAGCTTCAGTGGAATGGCGTGCAACTTTCTCAGCGGTGTGAAGAGCTTCAGTGGAATGGCGTGCAACTTTCTCAGCAGTGTGAAGGGCTTCAGCGGAATGCCGTGCAACTTTCTCAGCGGTGTGAGGAGCTTCAGTGGAATGGCGTGCAACTTTCTCAGCAGTGTGAAGAGCTTCGGTGGAATGGCGTGCAACTTTCTCAGCGGTGTGAAGAGCTTCAGTGGAATGGCGTGCAACTTTCTCAGCGGTGTGAAGAGCTTCAGTGGAATGGCGTGCAACTTTCCCAGTGGTGTGAAGAGCTTAAGTGGAATGGCGTGCAACTTTCTCAGCAGTGTGAAGAGCTTCAGCGGAATAGAATGCAACTTTCTCAGGAGTGTTAAGAGCTTCAGTGGAATGGCGTGCAACTTTCTCAGCGGTGTGAAGAGCTTCAGTGGAGTGGCGTGCAACTTTCCCAGTGGTGTGAAGAGCTTCAGTGGCATGCCGTGCAAATTTCTCAGCAGTGTGAAAGGCATCAGTGGAATGCCGCGCAACTTTCTCAGCAGTGTGAAAGGTATCCGTGGAATGCCGCGCAACTTTCTCAGCGTGTGAAGAGTTTCAGTGGAATGCCGTGCAACTTTCGTAGCGAATAACATAAATGAACTGAGCTGAGGATCTGCTTAAAGACGACTAACCCAACTTTGCTTTTTGATCAGCCCCCCCCCCCAACCAAACCCCTTCAAACCTCCACAACACAATAAAATAAAATTTGAGGTCTCAGCACAAGACACCAGACACCAGAAACACGAATCAAGAAAGACGACAAACACCATCAGGTGCATAACACATGGCACTAGACACAAGACACGCGGAACGAGATACTCGACACATGACACACACGAAATGAGACACACGACACCAGACATGAAACGACACAGATGACAAACATCCTAAGACACGTAACATATAACATCAGAGACTTGTCATGAAACAAGATATACGATACACGCCAAAGGAGACATACGACGAACGCGAAAGGAGACAGACGACGAACGCGAAAGGAGACACACGACGAACGCGAAAGGAGACACACGACGAACGCGAAAGGAGACACACGAGGAACGCGAAAGGAGACACACGACGAACGCGAAAGGAGACACACGACAAACGCGAAACGAGGCACACGACAGCAAACAAAAGGCATATGAAACGAGACACACGACACATGATAAAATGAACACGTTTGTTTAGATGCCGATTTGACCGCACATTCAAATTTACCACACTGAGATACAGGGGCCGTCAGTAGATGACGTCACGCACAGGGGTTTGGGGGGGGTAGTTGTCCACGAACTAGCCATCTTGTGCTTTTAGGGGCCAATACATAAATAACGTAACGTATTGGGGGGGGGGGGCACAAATTTCTATCGATGTATGATAAGAATGTCTTAAATTGTGTCCAAAAACAGCCCCCAAAATATTGCGNCCCATTTTTTAAATTGTAGTACTCCAATCTAGCATCATTTGACGAATCGTCCCACCCGTTTACACGGTACACCACTCGTATTTGAAAGCTCGAAATAGCTTGGCTACGTACTCGGTTTGCTGTGCTGTCTTCTGTGCTGTCTTCTGTGCTGACACGGGAACGTGCTTCTTTCACAGTGTTACCATATCCAGAGAAGGTAAGCAGCTGAAACACGTGACGCCTCGGTGTTGGACAAAAAAAAAAGGTACCCGCATTTCTGCTCCACTGAGTTCGTAAAGGTGACGTGCTAAGTGGGGCGCGACCATTGACTGTTGGATCATGGGCGGAAACTCATTTGGACGGGGAACGGTCCGCAACACCCGGTAACTGGGGCGTGGACAAAAAAAAAATTATCCAAACACGAAGGGAGCAAGCTGCCTCAACTTATAATTCTAATTAATGTGACGTGAACAATAAGGGTTATTTATACAATCCTATCGTAAATGATCAATCCATTTTATGATACGCTCAGTGACATGTCAATAAATAGTGCAACAAGATGTGTTAAGGGTTAAAAAAAAAAAAAAAAGACTAGAATTACTATTCCCCCCCCACCCCCCTCTGTGCCTGGCGAAGAGATGTAGATGAGATTTTGGGACAAGGTATGAGTTTGTGGAGGCTTGAAATCAAACGACGGGGGCAGTGAGAGAAGAACGTTTCAGCCAAGAGCCTTCCCCCGCAGAAGGGTGTGAATTAAGAAACTAAAAGAAACAGAGGAGTTTTCATTATCTGAAAGATATAAACTGTTTTTCTCCATTCGTGCTAAACATAAAGGGGATACGAAAAAAAAATGGTTACGTTCATATTTCTGTTACCGAAATTCAAATAAGAAATCAAATTTTAATATTAAGTCCCCCCACCCCTGCGAAAGCCACAAAAAAAATTAATTAATAAATAGGGCTGGTATAACTTTCGGGAGACGACTATGGTGTTCAAACTGACTACGCCGATGCCGTGATAACCATTACCGGTACTGGATTATATGAGAGTTACTCGGCGTTTTGAAATTTTTTATTTCGTTTCATTAAGAAACCCAGTGTGTTTGTTGTGATCTTTCTCAAATTGGTGGATATTTGATTGGTAGGTGGATAGTTCATTGATAGATGGATAGTTGTTTGGTAGGTGGATAGTTGATTGGTAGGTGGGTAGTTGATTGGTAGGTGGATAGTTGATTGGTAGGGTGGATAGTTGATTGGTAGGTGGATAGTTGATTGGTAAGTGGATAGTTGATTGGCAGGTGGATAGTTGATTGGTAAGTGCATAGTTGATTAGTAGGTGGATAGTTGATTGGTAGGTGGATAGTTGATTGGTAGGTGGGTAGTTGATTGGTAGGTGGATAGTTGATTGGTAGGATGGATAGTTGATTGGTAGGTGGATAGTTGATTGGTAAGTGGATAGTTGATTGGTAGGTGGATAGTTGATTGATAGATGGATAGTTGTTTGGTAGGTGGGTAGTTGATTGGTAGGGTGGATAGTTGATTGGTAGGTGGATAGTTGATTGGTAAGTGGATAGTTGATTGGTAGGTGGATAGTTGATTAGTAGTTGGATAGTTGATTGGTAGGTGGATAGTTGATTGGTAAGTGGATAGTTGATTGGTAAGTGGATAGTTGATTGGTAAGTGCATAGTTGATTCGTTGGTGTGTAGTTGATTGGTAGGTGGATAGTTGATTGGTAGGTGGATAGTTGACTGGTAGGTGGATAGTTAACTGGTAGGTGGATAGTTGATTGGTTGGTGGATAGTTGATTGGTTGATAGTTGATTGATAGGTGTAGATTTGATTGGTAGGTGGATAGTTAACTGGTAGGTGGATAGTTGATTGGTTGGTGGATAGTTGATTGGTTGATAGTTGATTGATAGGTGTAGATTTGATTGGTAGGTGGATAGTTAACTGGTAGCTGGATAGTTGATTGGTATGTGGAATGTTCATTGGTAGGTGGATATTTGATTTTTGTGTGGATAGTTGATTGGTAGGTAAATAGTTTACTATGAGGTGGATAGATAATTGTGCAATGGTTGTTTTCTCCTTTCCTTAAAGAACACAGACACTCACATACTGACAGACACACAACCAGGCACACATACACCATTTTGAAAGAGATAATACTTTGATATAAAACAATTTGCTGAGGAAAGCAACAACATATGTGCATTCAACAACATAATGCATTCAAAGCAACAACACATGTGCATTCAACAACATAATGCATTCAAAGCAACAACACATGTGCCTTCAACAACATAATGCAAAGCAACAACAGCAACACAAAAAAAAAAACCCTTTAAATTATAATGCATGAATGCTAATTTAACAAGTGTCATGTTTAGCAACTTATTTAACGACACATGTCACCCCATTTATCGCTTGGCTTCCCTTCAGAGCTCAACTTTTTTTGTTTTTTGTTTTAGTCAATACGGATCACCCCCACTGGTCCACCTAAAAGCGTTTAATAATTGATTCCACTGAGAGATCATCTGAAAAGTGAGAACGTGACACACATTGTAACTAGTGCCCACGTATATTAATCCATTCTGCCTACCTATCGGACAGAGCGAGAAACACAGCCGCTGGCACAGGGAGATGGGGACCAGTGCGGTCGGAATCACGTTCAACGTCAATGGCAGGTCATACACAGGTAAATTAATGTATCTAATACTACTGTTGATATCTATGCATGAGCGAATGCATCTGCTTTTTTTTTTTTTAACATGATATAGTTTTTGTCATGTAAGGGTGGAAATATATTAATAGAACATCCGGGTGTTCAGTCTGGCCAATATTAATGAAACATCCGGGTATTCCGCTTGGCCAATCTGTCAACAGCTGTTCAGTACTTCTACGTTAATGTGAGCCAGCATAGGTGGGTCTTAACCTAGACAAAAACATGTTAACAACTTTATTTTATTAATTTTAAGCAGGATTTTACTGATATATATATATATATATTTATTTATTTATATATATCTGGCGGAAATATACTGTTAGGGGCTATGTTTTACAAAAACATTGTTTCAAATTATACATTGTAACATTGCGTAGTGCGATGTGGCGTTTTCCAGTAATAGAAATGACAAACCCTATTCCAGTCCACAGTCTGCCGTGTGCCCTTTAACGCAATTCAATAGAAAACAAGGACGGCACACGAAATACACGAATGTCGGTGGAGTGTCAATTTTCCCAACGCCCTTATCCGAAACGCCGGTTGACCGAACTGCTAGTGTCTTTTTAACATTTTAGAAACATTATTATTACTACTTGAGTAAACTCACCAAACTATGGCGGCGGTGATGCGCGAACTTCCCCTCTACTAAAGTTACTTGACAATAAAGGGACGCAAGTGACGCTCTTTAGAAGAATCCCTATCTGTGCTTACTTGCGGGAATTTAATTTCACGCGTCTGTTGAACACGGCGTTTCAGCCATAGGTACGCACATACTTAGAGAATTGTTATTTGTGATTATCATTTTGTTTTTAAAAAAAGTGCATGGAATGAGGCTTCAGGTTACTGAAGATGGTTCATTATAGGACATTAGGGACTACAGATTTATCGTAAGATGGGCATAGAGGATTACAGATTTATATTAAGATGGACATAGAAGTAGAAGGCTACAGATTTATAGTAAGATGGACATATGAGACAACATATTTATATTTAGATGGACATAGGAGACTACAGATTTATAGTAAGATGGACATAGGAGACAACAGATAAATATTAAAACTTTTTTTCTGTTTTGATTTATATAGATGTTTTTTTTTTTAAAAAAGCTTAATTTTCCGCTTATTGAATGTTTATCCTGTTCAGCCCGCAATCTTACATGTGATTTGATAATAGGCCCGCCAAGCGATTGAGTTTGACATCCCTGTTCTAAGCAAACGCTGCGCCTGACCGGGCACATTCCGAATTAAGACGACCTCTTACCAAATAAGTATATTTATTAACTACACACATTTACACGTAAACTTACAGTTTTGGCAGCACCTGAAGGCAGCTCCCCGGGGACGGTGCCCCCTTCCTACGGCACTGACTGCATGAGGGTCTTCGGGTGATTAGGCGAAAATAACTCAAATAATTTCCAATCCATTTTTTTTTAGTTGGGGAGGAATACTCAAGGGCGACGCCCCTGCTTGAGTTTCTACGGATCGAAGGCATCTCCACGGGGACCAAGAAATGCTGCAACGAAGGGGGGTGCGGGGTCTGTGGGGTGACCGCCACACTTCTGGATCCCCTCACAGGACAGATACGTGCATACAGCATCATGTCAGTAAGTTGATGGTTGTCGTATTGGGGAACATGATCTACACGCTTTCTTGTTTGATAGAACTTTAGTGTGAGGAGGGTTTGTCGTTTTTTTTTGTTGGTGGGTGTTTGTGTGTGGGGTGGGGGGTGTTTACTCCAAATTACAGAATTTAAACCAACATATAATACCAGGGACGTCATTTAGGTAGGGCATTCCCCCCCCTCCCCCCCCATTTTGTGAGTTTTATTTAAATTGCTATGTACTGTGGTGCTTCCAATTCCAGTAAAAAACAACTTAACTTTAACAAGCTGACCAAGTTTTGGTTTTGCCACCCCCCTGAAAAAACTGAAATGACGCCCCTGGGGGCTGGCATTGGATTATGACGACAGTAAATGTCATCATAGAAATATTTACAGCAGAAGTAATATTTTTGTCAATACTATGGTTGATAGTGTTTTCGCTTTATTACCTTCAATTCAAGTAATTTACCCTTCATACAAATAATTTACCATTCATTTAAGGAATTTACCCTTTATAGGTTAATTTTTCACTTGATACAAAACATTTACCTTTCTTACAATTAATGATCCTTTAACCTTCATGCAATTCATTTCATACAAGCATGATGATGATAAATAAGTAGGCTACTTTATAATGTAGCGCATGTATTCGTGCTATTTTAGCATGCTCAAAGAGCTCCAATGTCTTAAAATCTACTCAACTAAAAAAGTCTTTAAATTTAAATGGTTCTTAAATGATTTTTTTTTATCATTTTCAATTTCCGGCAAAGTTTAAGGTGAACTATTCAGTGACAATTTAGGCGCAACAGCTTCAAATAGGCCCTACATTTACCATTCATATAAATTTCATGCTTGTGAGCTCATTTGATCTCATCATCAAAACTAAAATTTTCTTTTGTCTTTAAGTTTACTTATCAATTAAATTTTATCGTAGAGTCAAATTAAAATCTCCCGTTAAAAATAAATCTTTAATTTAACTTGACAAGACCTACGTTTAAGTTTAAGTCAAGTCTAAGTAGTAAGTAGGCCTTCTCTCAGTCCATCTTTCTGTTGGCTTAGAGTTAGACTTCTTTGAAGCGAACAACAATCGAAATTTCTACCAGAATGGCAGCTGTGCCTAGAAAACAACTTAGTTTGAGGGGCATTTTAAACTTTCAAAATCGGACGGATTTTGCGTTTTTCATGTTATAGTCCAGTCAATTTTTAAATAAAAAGTCGGACACACAACAATCAACTACAAAAAATAAAAGAAACAAACTAAAATAAATAGCAACTGCGTTTAAATGCCAGGAGAGACTTTACAAATCGTGCTCTCATTGTTTACCCTTTTGTCCAGTGCTGCATGCTCCTGTACTCATGCAATGGAATGGACATTACCACAGTGGAGGGACTCGGCAACACCAGGGACGGTCTCCACCCCATTCAGGAAAGGATGGCCGTCTATGACGGCGCTCAGTGTGGCTACTGCACCCCCGGCCAGGTGATGAACATGTATGGGTGAGTAAAAGTTAGTTTTATGTTATTCGAAGCTCGTCTAAACAAGTGTATATTATATCGCACGTTTCTCAGGAGTTTTAGCTATGATTAATTAAAACTTCAGTCTTTTCCCAGATTTAAACTTTTCACCCAATGTTAGACTCCCCTCCCCCTCTTTTTAGATCAGATGAAGCTTTTCCCCCCAGATGTAGCCTTTTCCCCCAAGAATTAGTCTTTTCTCCCAAGATTTAGTCATTTCCCACGAGATTAAGTCTTTCGCCCCTGATTTAGACTTTTAGTATACCCCACCCCCACACCCCCTGGAGATTTAGTTTTCACATATTTACTTTACTAATTTAGATTGTTATCAGTAGAAAAGACATTATCCAGAGTCTATGAAAAGATTTTTTTTTGTTGGTATAATTGTCTATTAATATCGAGCAATGTATAAACTGACATACTTCAGAGCAAAATCAGTTAGTTCACTGCTGAATATTTATTTAGCATCTAGGAAAATGAATATTGACTTTCTTTTTAAGTTTGCCGTAACAAATTGTCTTTGATGGAGAAATTCATTATCAAAACACTAATTATTTCACATTTCCCTTAGATTATTCATTATCAAATTAGCTGAAAAATATTTGGAAAATGGTACCCAGATAATTTTAGATATAATAAACAGCAATAAAACACAACAAAAAAACAATCAACTTCATTTACATTTATCCAACTCTGCTACACACATATTTTAATCATGAATTTCCCCCAGTTTGCTGAGGAATAATTCCAAGCCCACCATGAATGATGTGGAAGATGAGCTTGATAGCACAATATGTAGATGTACAGGTGAGAAAATTTATATCTACACGTGAGAGAAATTGCAAGAAGTACAGGTGTGAATTAGACGCATAGGTGAGACAAAATTTACAAGTGATTCTACTGTTGCATGCTGTACTGGTGAGTACAAGTGACAGTCTAATTATGTTTTTAATTTTTCTTCTCAGTGGCTGACTAAAAGAGATGGCTTGTATTTTTTAAGCTGTCCAATGTTTAAATACTTGTAGTTAAACATTTTTTTCTCTACTTAAACACATACGAAATGTTAAATAGGATTTTGGGGGGCGGAAATGATGATTTTTTTGTATATCCCACAGGATACAGACCAATCCTAGATGCAATGAAATCATTTGCTGTTGATGCCCATGACTCACTAAAGGGAGGTGTCATAGACATAGAGGTAAAGATATTTTAAAAAGTAGCTCCAAAGTCCAAAGACCTTACTTGAGCTCATTCAGTTCATTTTATTGGGCATAAAAATGCAGAGTTTTTTGTAGAACTTGGCTCAGAGAGCATTATTTGTGTCTTTGAACAATTATCTTGTTGAAGCTACTCACTCAGTGACACCCTCATGGTATCACTCATATGTTAATAGCTCAACTCATTATGAAAAGTGATAATCTCCACCTAGTTTGACTGCTTATAAAGTTGTTTTTCTCCCTGAATGTTTTGAAATGTCTGATCTATGTTATAAAAAATATGCCAGTAGCGGAATAGAAAAAAAAAGAAAGATTATTTGAAAAAATGGGCTCTTGAATGCTGGTAGTTTGGTCACAATTATTATTTATTTGGTCATGTTTCTACATCAAATTTATTTTTGTTTGTCAAGGAGCTTGATGGCAAAATTTGTAAAAAGACTGCCCAGGCCTGCAGTGGGAATTGCCAGAGAAGCATCACAAGACCAGCAAATCACAGAGGAGGGAACTCAGTATGGCTTGTTCCCGATAGTCAATCAGAATTATTGACCATGCTGAAGCAGAAAAGCAAAAATAAATACAAACTGGTGTTTGGAAACACAGGATTTGGTGAGTCCAGATTGGTGAGCTGTAGTGTTCTACGTAAATTGACATCTATTTAGGACCGTCATGTGACAGATAAAGGAAACCTATGGGTTTAGGCTACCCCTGCATTCCAAAAACATCAAAAACCTACTCACACTGCACACGCATGCATGTTTTGTATGCCTCCCCCCCTTTTTGGCAAGGGCTCTGCAGCTAATATTCAAATTATTCATCAAGTCCTTGTCTGCACAAATACCATGCCAATAGCCTGTCATTAAAATTATTTCATTGCTAAAGACTAAAGGGCATTATTTAATTGATAAAATGCATCTTTGACTGCTAATATTTAAATTAGCAATTAGAGGGTTTATACTGTAGAGATAAAATAGTGTATATTTATTATTCTGTGCATACAATACCACTAAAAAATTAAGATGAAAATTAATTGAAGACAAAACAAGGCTTTTCATTCTCTCCTGGCCCCTTACAACAGGCACTTCCTAACTTAGTGATCAAAGTGATTGCCCCCTCCCCCTTAGGCTTCATTTAATTTATCCTGTGCTGTAATGTTTGTCTTATTGTCATTTCACTGAAACAGGAGTGTACAAACATATTGATTCCTGGAACTACAATGTTCTGATTGACCTGAGGAAGGTCAAGGACTTTTACACTGTTGATGTAAGACAATCATCCTATGACCCAAATCTTTTTGGCACAACATTTTTAAAAGATGTCACCATATGACATGCAAAATAAATTACTTTAAGAATTTCACCATTTACTTACTTCTGTTAAGGTTAGTACCAGGTCTCATCTCACCACAGACCAGATAATTTGATAAACAAAGAGTGATCCATAAGATGTGATAGGTTTTGTGCAATATTTTACACAAAAAATTGTTGAAAGGAAAACAAATGTCTAACATGTCAGGATCTATTTTCATCAGCTAAAAGGTGACCGTGTCATTAAACTGGGTGCAAACCTCACACTGACCAATTTGAAGGAACTCTTTAACAAGAACACAGACAAGAGCCTGCCTTATGCTTCAGAATTTGGCAAGCACCTGAAACGCACAGCATCTAGTGGCATCAGGAATGTAAGGGCTTAGAAATGTGTGTATTTACAAAGGCTTGTGTTAAACAAATTTTAAATGCATTTAAAGTTTAACTATCTCATTTATAAAACCTAAAGGAAAAAGAAAAGAATGCTTCCAAAAGATTTTGAAATATAAACAGTTTATCTAATGATATAACATACATGACAAAAAGATTTTGAAATATAAACAGTTGCATGAAGAGCGTATTGGAAATGTAAAATGTGGATGCACGACACAAAACAAATATGGAAAATAATTTTAAAAGCAAACTAATGATATAACATACATGACAAAGTAAAGCAAATTTCATAAAGCAAATACAGACTATGTGGCTGGTACATTCAATGCTAATAATTTTTTCTCCTTGTGTCAAATTAGAATGTGAATTTATTCTTAAAGCACAACTATTTTAGCAACTTCTGCTATAAATTGAATACTGTATACTTGATAGATCAGATTTTTACGAAGGCTTAAAATAAAAACATGGGTAAATGTCGACTTTCTCTTGTTCTCGCAATTCAGCTGGGCAGCTGGGCTGGCAACCTCATGGTTAAACACGCAAAGCCAGATTTCATCTCAGACATCTTCACCATGTTTGAAACAGTTGGAGCCAAAATCTCGATCGGTAACATAAATTCATGAAACTGTTCCAGCATCCACAAGTTAATAGCCAAAAACAAACTGTTGATTCCATCTTAAGGATTTCCTACCTACCATAAACTAGCCACAATAAAAGTTTTTTTTTTTTAAAAATCCAATTAAAATTTAATATTTTACAAATAATCTAGTTAACATTTCAATCTTAAATAAAAAAAAAATTAATTAAAATTTCAACCATTTATAAAAAATCTGTTTAAAATTCTGACCTTTTCCAAAAAAATCTAGTTAAAATTTCAACCTTTTACAAAAAATATTTTCAGCACATCCCTATTGTTTACTTGATTAAATAAAAATTGCAAACACTTTCGCCAGATTTTTTTATTAGCTTATTTTTGTTAATGCGATAATAATAATAATAATAATAATCATGATAGATGATAACTTTAAATTAATTTTTTTTTATACAGACATTGAACTAAAGGGTTTATTTATTTAGACTCTGAAAGAAATTGGGAAAAAAAATGTTTGTATCATGGAATTCTTTGCATTCTGTTTTTCAAAACCAACAATTCACTGAAATGAATGTTCATTTATTTTGTATTGTGAGATTAATAAAAAAATTGTCTTGCCTTTTGTTTTCATTTTTGCCAGCCGATGGTGATGGCAACGTCAAGGACTACACACTGACCCAGTTCCTGGCCCTTGGCATGCACGGTAAAGTTATTGTGTCTGCACAGCTTCCAAAATACAAGACAGGCCATGTGGTCGTTCGGACACTGAGAACATCTCACAGGCTGCAGGTTTGATTGCAGTCCAGACGATAAGATTCACTTTAATCCACACATTTTTCAAATTGTATTTTAATGAGCTTACTCTAGAAATAACTGCCTTGTAGCCCTTTAATATTTAACGTGCACAAATCCAGGCTTTATAAATGTTGAGCGCAGCTAAATGTGGTAATTGGTATAGATTTTAATTATCGTCACTTCCGTTGTGGTCATCCAGGTCTGCGAAGCTCACATGGCTTGCGGATACAACTTTCATCTGGAGTCTGACTCTCTATACACAGTCAGGTCAAGGCCATCTATTGTAATACAAGGAATCAGCAAAAATTTGGTAAAGTTTCTTAATTTAAAACAAAAATAATTTTAGATTTTACCTATTGTTTAAATTTTTACATTTTTAAAATAAAACTGTGAATTATTGGAAAATGGATTTATATTAAAGTAAAAGATGCTTTCTAAGAATATAAAATTTGTGAACAAAATACTTAAACAATTAAAATTCACCATTTTTTTATCTATCAGATGCATGCCACCAGGACAGAAGAGTTCCTTACCAACAAAAATATTTCAGATTCCAGTGTCCTGAAAGGCAAGTCTCTTGTCATTATGTCTTACATGTAATTATCAAATTATGAAATGAAACTGTGAAATCTGATGCTGGGTGGCCGAGCCATCTAATCTGGGTCAATTACAAACTTGTAGACTGGAGATTAATCCGCAAAAGTTTAGCCAAGCAAAAACAATACCAAAGCCCCAGGTGGATTGGACTCATTAACCTTGGATGGCAACTCATTAACCTTGGATGGCAACTCATTAACCTTGGATGGCAACTCATCTAAGAGAAGGCAAAGTCTCAAATAAAACCTGGAGGAGGAGTCTCACTGTCTGTATGACATTGACACAATGAAAATTCTGACAACTTCTGCAGCATGAAACACACAGTGTGATATAAGAAGCATTGCTGGTCATCTACTGCATCCTGGTCTATTTCCAGCCTTCTTGACTGACTAACGCACATATTCCGGAGAAGGTGTGCCAAATGGAGCAACTCTCCCTCACTTTAAACAAAATACAGCTCAAGTCAATGCTACTATTCAAGTAGAATCTTGCCTTTGTCATCTTTGTATGCAAAGGACAAACAATAAATAACAATGAAATAAAGCATTGATTTTTTATATTTTAAAAATCATAATTATTATTTGAACAAACAAAAAATATATAAACATTGACTTTGGCATAGAAAAATGTTCTGGTAACGAATAATCAGTAGGCCCAATACTTTTGCTGTCATCTCTTTGCTTCCTCCAATCTAATAGTCCATCAGCGTTATATTTGTGTTTGACGGCACCAAGAACCATAATTTTAGATTTTATTTCAGCTGCTGGAAGCTACAAATAAAAAAATTAATGGAAGAATTTAACTTTGATTGATATTCAGAGGCAATGAAAATTCTGTCTGAAGAACTGATGCCTGAAACCAATGGTCCACTTCTTGCCAGCTCAGCGTACCGCAAATCTCTGGCCCTGGGTCAGTTCTACAAGGTGAGTTCAGCTTAGATGTTGAGAAAAATATTCTGCAAACAATATTCTGTTATAAACTATTTTTTTAGAAAATGTATCCTTTATATTTTCCAACATTTTTCTTAATTTAAAAAAAACAACATTAAAATGGGTTACTAGCTAACTTATGGATGAATCCTAAGAACCACATAATTAGAATCATTTATGGTGTTTTAAGGGAACGTACAGGCATTTGAATGTCACCTTTTCCTATTGCCAGTTTGTTCTTGGAGTCTGCAAGGGTCAGGTCACTTCCAGGTATGTCAGTGGAGGTGTGGACCTACCAAGGCCTATCATGACAGGTACCAGGGACTATGGTCAACTGGATGATTCCGTCTCCCCAGCCAACCGACCCATGATGAAGGTCACAGCCAGGAATTTGGTACAACTACAGCTATTTATAAAACTGAATTTTCACAGCTGGGGCTTTAAAAAATGCTAATGAAAATTTACCCTTTGAATCGTCCCAATGATCGGACATTAAGTTTTCACACACACAAACAATTTATAATCTTTAACACAAAAGATACAATTTCTTCTAGACATCAGGAGAGGTCAAGTTCCTTGATGACCAGCCAGTAGTCCTGGACCAGCTATTTGCAGCTGCTGTCTTAAGTCAACAAGGAAATGCCAAACTGAAAAACATTGACCCCTCCCAGGCTCTGGTTAGTTTTAAAAAAAAAAAATGAATTCAGAGTGAACAACATCGACAGGTAACCCTAATTCACCTGTTTTGTTTTAATAATATTGGATTAAAAAAATATTTACAAATTCATGTCTTAGAAAGTCTGTCTTTGCCGTTAACGTTATTTAAACTGAAAACTAGGAACTTGCTGTGTTTCTTAAGTTTTGCTGTTGTCCGTCAGAAAATGCCTGGTGTCGTCAAGTTTATTCAAGCCTCAGACATCCCTGGTGAAAATAACTGGAGGCCCAAAAGCTGGTACGGGAGTGGGGTGTCAGAGGTAAGAAATCTACAATGGGGTGTTGGAGGTAAGGAGCGCACAATGGGATGTCAGAAGTAATAAATGTGCAATGGGGTTTTAGAGGTAAGGAGTTTACTATTGTGTGTCAGAGGTAAGAAATGCACAATGATGTGTCAGACACCACATGTGTCTCTTAACATTCGGGGCTTGGTCTCAGTGAAGTTCTAGTTTCAGCTGGTGATTTTAGTTTTAAACAAATAAAATTTAATCCAAACATCGGCATAGCATGGGTTAATAATGTGAATGAAAATAGGTAGTATTGTTGAAGCTTGTATAATTAAAGTGATTTCCAAACATTGGCATAGCATGGGTTAATAATTTGAATGAAAATAGGTAGTATTGTTGAAGTGTGTATATTTTAAGTGATTTTGTTCCCACCTCCAGTTGCTCAGTTCAGGCAAGGTGGACTACGCAGGTCAGCCAATAGGGATCATTGTTGCGGGTGAGTAGCGGTCGCATGCTTCACATATCATTTTCAAAGCAGAAGTTTTTAAGGTGATGTTGTGCAGTAATTTCACTGAACAAATAATAAATTACGATTGACTCCACACAGGTTTATAACTTAACAAATAAGTTTCAGACTTTGCAATAAACTTGGGTTAGTTGTAATGAGATTGTCACTTGTCACCATATCCAGGCCTGGGCTTTGCAAAGTGCTCAAACAACTGAGAGTCCACTGCTAAAAAGTGTACTAAGATACCTCCTTAAAGCGCTCACATTAAATAAGAATGGCCCATGAATCATGATGAATGAGACAAAAATCATAAATAGTTTATTTTAAATTGTGATATTTTTTTAAAACTGTTTTCATGGAGTCTTTATAAACACTTCACACATTTATTCCAAAAATTATTTTTTGGCATGGTACTCTGACATTCATCACAACATAAATTAAAATGTCCATGTTCCAGTTGGGAATATGTTATAACATTATTAATGTAATCATGTCCTGTAATTTTCTCTATTACTATATGATAATGTCATAATTTTCGTCACGATTTTCTGCTATCGTTCGTCTGTCGCCAGAGGATGAGGGGACTGCCCTGAAAGCTGCCCAGACTGTGGAAGTCACTTACACAGACGCCAGACCTGTCATCGTTGATGTCTTGGATGCCATCAAAGAAAAATCATTCTTCCCAAAGCTCGGGCCTTTTACTAAAGGAGACGCTGGAAGTGAGTCCATTTAAAATGTTTCCTTGCATGTTGGACTCTGTCGATCCTCAACAAATATTTATTTTAAAAATTATCTTTGTTTCTTACGCAATTGTTTTTTTTTTTTTTTTTTTTTTTTTTTTTTTTTTTTTTTTTTTTTTTTTTTTTTTTTTTTTTTCATTCTACACACCATGCGATTTAAAAACTTTTTGCATGGTTCTCATGTTACACAGCAGATTGTAACTGTAATTTTACTTAACTGCCTCAATAGGGAGGAGCTCCAGTTTTCTTTAGTTGTCCTTCATTAAAAAAAAACATATTCAAAATAATCTTTTTTTCCCCTTTATTTCTATTTTTCCAATAATAGACTTAATTAATTAACAAGAAAACACTTAAAATGAAAAGTATTCCAAGAATGTCCAAATTGAATTCTAAATGTATGTAAAATTTTGGCCCATCAAAAAGCTGCTATGGCAAGTGCTCCGCACAGGGTCAAAGGGAACGCCCGCAGTGGAGAACAGTATCATTTTCATCTAGAGAACCAGACGGCCATCTGCTGCCCGTCTGATGTTGGTGGTATGGATGTCCAGGCGACGTCACAGTGGATTGACGTGACACAGGAGACAGTGGCACAGGTCCTGGGGATGAATGTCTCAAGGTAATTTGCTTTGTGTTAGTAGTAGGATGGCTGGTACCCTGTTTGTACTCATGTGTATATCTTCATGACCGGTACATCATCTGTCATCTAGTGTACATCTCTGTGACTGGTACATTGTACTCAAGTGCAGATCTTTATGACTGGTACATCATTCGCAATCAAGTGTACATCTTCTTGAGAATTACACGGTTTGTACTCAAGTCTAGGTCATTATGACTGGTACATCATTTGTAATCAAGTGTACGTCTTCATGAGAGGTACACAGTTTTTACTCAAGTCTAGATCTTTATGACTGGTGAATCCTTAATACTCAAGTGTACATCTTCACGACTGTTACATCGTAAATACTCGAGTGTGCATCTTCAAGAGTGGTACGTGCTTAATACTCAAGTCTATCTTCATGGGAATTATAAAGTTAAGGCATGGAAAATCTTAAGACATAGTAATAACAAGACATGGGAAATCTTAAGACATAGTAATAACAAGACATGGGAAATCTTAAGACATAGTAATAATAAGACATGGGAAATCTTAAGACATAGAGCACAAGTTGTTTCAAAGCTTTCCCATGTCTTGGACTTAATGCTCCCTTCACACAGCTTGAAGACAGGCTCCACGATATTATCCTGTACATCTTCATGTCTTGTGCATGATATGAGACCTGAAGCTACTCTTTTAAATGTTTAGTTTTTTTTATTGATAACAACAAACAGATGCTGCTAAGCATCTTTCGAATACTTGAGATTAAAAAAGAAAAAAATCCTCTTGTAGTATTAAAACAGAAAAAAATGTAACACACATTCGAATCTGTTGACAAAACTTTGTATTAGCCTATTTAAAAATTATTTTAGCCATTGTACATTTGTCTTCCCGGTCAGTGTGAATGTGGAGACTCAGAGACTCGGTGGAGCTTTTGGTGGGAAAATCTTCTACAACGCTCCAGTGGCTGGCATGTGTGCTGTGGCCGCTCACAATTTGAGAAGGTAAGGATCACCCGGGTATGTGTTAACCCGGGAGCATAATTCAACATTCTGTTGGGGAATGTTTTAAAATTGAAATGCTTTTGGGATAAATGTTAACCTGGCAGATTTTCATGGCAAGAGAATTATAAACACTAATGTAGCATAAGATAAAATTTATTATGAAAAAAACCCAACTATACAAAACAATGTAAAAGAAACAACAACTCTAAACACAAATATTCACCATTATGTGTTTTGTGTTAAAAGTTGTTGTTTTTTTAAGTTGTATTTTTTTTTTTTTTTTTTTAGAAGATAAATCTCAAAATTCTCTGAATATTTTTCCTTTTAAAAAATATACACAGAATTTGTAAAAGAAACAACAACTCTAAACACAAATATTCACCATTATGTGTTTTGTGTTAAAAGTTGTTGTTTTTTTAAGTTGTATTTTTTTTTTTTTTTTTTAGAAGATAAATCTCAAAATTCTCTGAATATATTTCCTTTTACAAAATATACACAGAATCAAGTCTTAGATTATATATAAAGACTAAACAAACTCAAAGAAATTAAAGTTATAATAGAATTTTTGTTTTTCATGCAATTTAAAAGTATTGAAACAATTTGAAATTGTTCATTAATAAATTTGGTCTCACAGATCAGTCAAGCTCCACATGGATCTTGCCACCAACATGCAGTACCAAGGATGCAGACAGGGATATTACTATGAGTATGAGGTATGCATCAATTCAAATCAGATCAGTTTTAAGTTTTTGTTTAGATAGTAAGTGATATAATTTATGTTGAAATAAAATTCAGCATAAGGTGTGATGTTAAAATATCTTACAACCCTTTTTTTTTTTCAAATGTCTTGAGGATGCATTAGTAATGTTAATTCAAAACTGTGGAATTGCTTGTTAAGGTTGCAACATTCTGTGTTGATAGGTGGGCTTTGATGACAAAGGAAATATCCTGGCCATCATTGCCACAGGTTATAATGATGCAGGTTCGAGTTTCTTTGCTCTGGACGGAGATGAACAAACACAGACTTGGGTGGACAATGGTGAGACCTGATGTGGGATTTTTTTGTTAAAGGAAAACCTCCAGACTAGATGATTTAAATACACTAAATATTTTTCATTGGGAAATGGCGTTGGCGGGCCATCAAGCGTTAGCATTTAATGCCCTCCCTGATCGAATTTGGAGGACGTCCGGTTGACCGAAAGCACTGCATTTAAAACGCCTGCAGCCGACGCTCCCAGGGAGTTGGGATGGTGTATTAAGGTCCTAATATCTTCCCCCACCCGTCCAGGGGAAGCATCGGACATCCTTTAAGAGGGGTGCTAAAGTGGGTTTCCTCCACGCAACTAGTTTGCGAAGTAGCTGGGGCGAAACGGTTGTCTAGAAGCAGCTTTCTCAGGGCTGTGTATTTAGAATCATCAGCTAGAGGCTTCCACCTTAGCCTCTTGCCTCATATCCATTAACTGCAACTTGTAATCATGATCCCTACCCTGTCTCTGGCTTTACTTCCAACTGTAAAACATCCCAGTTGGCAGCCCTGTAGGTGCTTTTCTTTTATTGCGGCCGGTACCATGCATGTCCCTTATTTGCCCACGCAGGACACGCTATGGTGGTTTTGTTCCCCCTGGTAACACCGAGGGGGTCTGGTGGTTGGCACCTCTCAATCTGCAAGCCACTGCAGGCTTGTCAATTAGAGCCCTGGGGGAGGGGAAATTAAAAAATACATATATATATGTGTTGTATGAAAAGCTTTTGCTTAAGTATTGTTGTACAAGACCAAGCTTCCATATAACCAGAGCTTGAAAATAGGTCGTCAAGGGGACCTTGTGAAATAAAAAGGGGGACCACTAAAACTTTTTTTTTCTTATTTAGAATCCTTTTCTTTTTCCTTCCTCCCCCCACTAGCTTTTTATATAAGGCTGCTGACTACAAAACTACCACACCAATGACAGTAATTGTTCACCATCAAACCCACTAGGAATTTTTAAATGATTTTTATTCAGATTTCCTCCATTACAAAAGCATTTTGACCTAGGACTGAAATATACCAAAGGAGACATACATTTTTATGTTTCCCCAGCCTACCACATCCCCAACTTGTCGTGGACGGTTCAGCCTTGCAAGACACACAGACCAGTGGCCACAGCAATGAGAGCCCCAGGCACGGTCAAGTATTGGTGTGAATGAGTGTGGAATATGTAAAGGGGGGTGGGGTGAGGGGGCTGAGGCAGAGATACACAATAAATCTTCACCCTGCTTGTTGACCCACATAATTTAGGTCTTTAAATCTTGCTGTATCTCAGTCTAAACCTCTCCATTCAACTTTATATAATGATAAATAAAAAAAAAAAACCTTCACTTCAGGATCGGCCACATCCATGTTTTCAATGGAGTCGATCATTGACCATGTGGCAACTTACCTGAAAAAGGACCACCTGGAGGTTCGCAAGTTGAATCTCTTTGAGAAAGGGCAGGTAAATCATCCTAGCTTTTTTAAAAAACTTTATCTTACAACTCTGGTTATAAAACTATTAGTTCACACAATCAATAATAAAAAAAAAAAAAATCATCCCAATATAAAATGATCTCCAATAAATCCTCTGAAAACTAAAGTTTAAAGGACATGCCGTTAAACTATAAATTACATAATGTACTTTAAAGTTAATGCTATTTAACAATAAAAACAGTAAGGTGTAAGCTTTTTAAAAAATTTTATATCTTTTTTTTTTTTAAAGAGAAGGAGGGGGGGGGGGAGTGAGCAATACCAAATAAGGATGGCACCATTTTTGGTGTGTCAAAACAAATATAAATTTTACTTTTCCCTTTTTTTGCCTTGGCATCGGCACTAGTTATTCCTCTATTATAACATCAACTTTCACCCATCAGGTGACCCTGTCCGGCATGGTGTTGGAGCAGTGCCTCATCAGAGACATGGTTGCCCAGATGGAGGCTGACATTGTGTACTCACAGAGGAAGAAGGCTGTGGATGAGTTCAATCGAGTAAATCAAGATTTGAATTGTGTCTTTCAGCTGTTCATTCTTATAGTTGACGTTGAACTAAGTTGTTTGGTTTTTTTAATTGAAGAGATGAGATAAAAAAAAATTCTGTGTCTAGAACTAGTTAACTTAATGAACTGGTTAACTTAATGAATGGGTTAACTTAATGAATGGGTTAACTTAATGAATGGGTTAACTTAATGAAATGCAATTGATTCATCTGTCAGGCATTTAATTTATTCATCACTCTAATTTTAATAAGTAAAAATCAAATAACTCCTACAGCCAAATACATTTTGTGAAATTTCTGCCACCCCTCCCCCCATCATATGTCAAGTAATATAATTTGTCACAATGAATATGTGAATATGTAAAATGTAGATAAAAATGCTATTTCATGTGTGTTGATTATTTCAAAATCTTTAATGCTGATTTCATCAGAGTAATTTTCATATATTGTAAACGTAATTTAAAAAGATCTCAAAAGTAATTACATCTGAATGACCTCTTTGGATTAAATAAATGCATTAGGAAAGGGTTTGGTTAACTAAAGTCATACACGTTCATTAAATTCTTTGTTACATCGCTTTATGCAACACCCACAGAAAAAACGTGAAAAATTTTAAATATATGTTATGATAATCAATCTTTTTATAATGAAATATTTCTATCTTTTTATATTAAAAAATATTTCTAGTCAAATCGCTGGAAGAAGAGAGGCCTTCATGTGATGCCCAACAGGTATGCCATGACCTACACCTGGCTGTCCTTCAACACAAGCGTCATCATCTACCATGCTGACGGCAGTGTCGTCATAGCTCACGGGGCCATTGACATGGGACAAGGCATTGACACAAAGGTAACTGGAAGAAACTGTTTCTTTTTTGCCATCTAGGTTTACTAAGTCTTTTTGTGAGCTTTGTCATGGAAATATCAGTTGCCTATAACTATTTTACGACCATGAAGCTACAAGATTTCAATATGGCTAAGATGTCAACTATCTAGCCTTGTAAAATCTCAAAATGGAACCATGAAATTAAATTTCACAGGCCAACTTTAAAAAAAAATGTTTTGGTGTCTTGAGATTTAGTTCTTTTCCTAAAGTTATTTGGGGCGCTGATTCTAAAACTTTCGTCAAATTTATTGTAACAGCTCTAGTTTTTAAGATTTGGTTTGAATTTATCTTTAAAAATTAGTTTGCTGTATATAAGCCTTATAAGGTATCTTAAGCTGAATCAGAATATCATAAAAAACATTTAAATGGGAAATGTATGAATTGAAATTATCGACATTATGTGTATGTGTAAAGACATTTATCTAATTCCATTTTATTATTCACTCTGGCATATAATGTTCACTATCTTCTTCTATCTTCATGGATAATAAACCAGAGCTTTATTTTTGAAGAATCAGAATGTCCAGAAAATCTGTTCTTTTGATATAAAATAAGCAAAAATAACACTATATGTTATGCTTCATGGTTTACAATGACATGTGTTCAATGTCTCAAAAACTAGTGGAGATAGGGGTAAACTAAATTTTTTTTCGAATCAGTGGGTCAGATATTCCTAGTAAAACAAGTCTAACATTTGAAGCACCAAATTTTGTGTTGGCAAGTGTTTTCAAATGACTTCTTTTAACTGAGTAAAAAAAAGAAATGGAATAAAGATAAGCAAAAGCCTAGAACTCTTTTTGACTTGCATTTTTTAAAAAAATGTTAAATCTTTTGAATGTCATCAAAGTCAAATCTGCAACTTTCATTCAAATCATTGGCTTGTTATAAGGAAAGAAAAGATTTGATATCTTTTTAAAATATTAATTAGGCAGTCAAGGACTTTTCATCTCATATTACAAATTATTCTTTGAAATGCTTCAGGCCATCCAGACGTGTGCCTACAAGCTGGGCATTCCCACAGACAGAATTAAAGTGGTTAAGAAATCAACAACCATCAATGCCAACTCTCATTTCACCGGAGGATCGGTGTGTTCTGAGCTCATCTGCCTGGTGAGACTCAATTATTTATTATTATGCAGGCCCACTTTAAGGCATACAGCACATTGCTTTCTATATGTTTGCCAAATAATGAAATGAAATTTTTCTTTTTAAATGGTCCTTCCTGTGAAATCCTGTTTCAAGTTTTTAGAGCAATACCAATAAAAAAAGTATAAAAAACATACAATTAAAATAAACTAAATTTCACTGCAGAGTGTATGTGAAAAGAAGTTAACAATTTATTCACCACTGAATATGTAGCTGCCTATTTAAATGTTTCATAAGTTATTTTTTATTTTTAGATACACAGATTATATATAACATTCTATGATTTTTACATTGTAAATGGCTGAAGCACTGACTTCAACTATCATCAGATTTTTTTCTCATTGGTGGAGTAGTTTTTTTTGTTTTTTTTACCTGTTTGTGACTCAAATGAATAATGCCTCTTACAGTCAGTATGAGCAATACAAGCTAACTTCTAGGATGATATTACTTTTAGGCGGTGATCAAAAGCTGCGAGGTCCTGTTACAAAGACTGGCGCCAGTTAGAGAGAAACTGACGAATCCTACATGGGAGGAGCTGATAGCCCAGGCTTATGCTGGTGGGGTCAACCTGACGGCGCAGTACTGGTAGGTTTTCAAAGGCACGGTCGTGGTTTTAAGACATTTGTTAAAAATAAAGGATGATCCTAACGTTTGGGATGAGTCTTGCAAAGGGTTTTAAGGTACTTATGCAGCATGAAGCTTTCATGGGCTTTCTTACTAACAAGATTTCTTTCAGCAAATAAGGAAGAACATCAAAACTTATTTCAAGAAATAAACACAGTAACAAACTGTCTTAACTTCTAAATACGATAACATTATTTTGTTGATCCAAATAAATGGAAATGTTTTTTGGCTACATAATCATTTCAGCGTGTAAATAAATATTCTTACTAAGGCGACAATTTTAAATCACCAATTTTAAGTCACCAATTACAAATAACAATTCAAAAATTTTAAATCCCCAACTTTAATGTAATTTAATGTAGATGTCTTGTGTTTAAATGGTTTTAGTTGGAAAATGTCGACTTTATTAAATATGTATTTATTTATGTGTTGAAAATCTATGTGAACAATGCAATCAAACAACATGTATGTGAGCAATGCAATCAAACAACATTTATTTGAACAATGCAATCAAACAACATGTATGTGAACAATGCAATCAAACAACATGTATGTGAACAATGCAATCAAACAACATGTATGTGAACAATGCAATCAAACAACATGTATGTGAACTATGCAATCAAACAACATTTCCATTTGTTTGGATCACTAAAATAATCTTATTGATTCCAAATCAAAATGTGTAAATCACAGTTTCAAAGCTCGTTCATCTCTGATATGATCACATGAATTGTCATTAAAATATTCTGTAATCAAACAATGTCAGTTGCCGTTAGTCAACGCACAAAAGTCAGAAATATTATTTTGCTCTATATCCTGAGATGCTTCAGATAAGAAATTAACTATTTATTATATTTCAAGTTAATGAAATAGCTGGTCATTAGACATCCCCTGAAAACTAAGTTTTTTCATGTGAATCCTTTATAAAATGTAATACCAAGTAATTACGGAGGGGGGGTGGGCTGAAATTTAAAAAAAAAATGCATATAGGTATCGCGTTTTATAAGAGTGCTCCCCCCCCCCCAGGTTTGCGACTGCACATTTTTTTCATGCCCCTGAACCATATAATATGTACTAATGACCCACCCACTTTTGAGCCACGGATTTATTTCATCAACTATTTCAGAAAAACAAAAAAAATATTACGCAACAAACGCACTTGAGATATTTTAAAATAATTTTTAATCTAATTTAGCGCAGTTATCAGGAATTTTATTTCATGGAATCAGCGTCATCATATTTTCTGCATCTGCCCTTTGAAAAACAGGAAAAACTGTTTTTTGAGGGTAGGGGCTGACAATTTGTAGAATGTGTTGTCATCGGCTATGAGTTAATATGCCAAGTTATAGCTCGGCAATAAGTGGGTAAATTAGCTGTCAGAAGATTTCGACAGCCACAAATAAATTAGAATTTAATATAAAAGATTTTAAAAATATAAATACTTATGTTTACAGGCCGAACCCAACAGATCATGGAATTCCAGCCTACAATGCATACAGTGTCAGCTGCAGTGAAGTGGAATTGGAGGTCCTAACTGGCCAGTACCAGATACGCCAGGTGGACTACCTGTATGACTGTGGCAAAAGGTAACTGCCATTTTTATAATTACTAAGTTCTGTAAAGCCATATGGCCCCATATGGAATGACTTATTCATTTATGGAATGCTGTATGTGTGATTGTTTGTGTGTATGTTTTTGTGTTTGTTTGTGTTTTGTTTTGTGTCTGTGTGTTTTTATGGGGTGTATGTGTGGTGGGGCATTTGGTGTTGTGTGGGTGTGTGTAAGGGAGAAGGGATTGGTGTCACACTATAAGTAAGTGAAAGATTTTTTCAAGAGAATTTCAAGCTAAAAATATTATTTTCCTCACGGTGATTAACCCAGAAAGGAAGCAGTCATGGTCCCCTGTTGTCCTTAAAATGATGGTCCAATCAAATACTTTCTAAAATGAAATAGAAAGGAACTAATGTTAAATGATGGTTTAAAAAATATAAAGAAAAACACATCTTCTACAAAAGCTATTTTTAAAAGTATTTTAAGAGAACAAAAGACAAACGTTTAAGCTACTCATGCCAATATTTTTTTTTTTTTTTTTTTCTCATTTTTTTTTTTTTTTTTTTTTTTTTTTTTTTTACTTGAACTTATTCAGCTTGAATCCAGAACTGGACATTGGTCAGTTGGAAGGTGCATTTAACATGGGGTGTGGTCTGTTTTTGTTGGAAGGGATGAAGTACGACAATAAGACTGGGAGAGCACTCTCTGATGGAACATGGGTAAGTAAGGGAGAGAACTCTTTGATGAACATTTATTATTACATGACGATAACAGACCAATTAGTATCCTGTATTTTTTAACTTTATAAAAAAAATAAACTATATTCAAATGTTTGTGCAAGGGTATTTTTCTGACCATTTATGTGGTGCCTACATTTTATAAAGTAAATATTTTACTGCATTATTCTTAACTAAAGCCTTTGTATTAAATAGAAAAATCAGAACAAGAATTGATATTAAATCCAGTGTTCTTTTCTCCAATATTTTATCTCTCTATACAACAAAACATTAATAATATTTATTTTGTAATAGGCATTGAAGATAAATTTTTAAAAAGCCATTACTGTTCTATCCAATACATGACAGCATTACAAGCTTCCACTGTCCAAGGACCTGCCTATCGTATTCAACATCAAGTTCTTGAGAAATGCACCAAACCCAGTTGGTGTTTTGGGATCAAAAGGCAAGTCAATTTATTGCTCAGGTCAACAAATTGAAAGTTGTCGATTATTGATTTTTGAATCATAGTTTGATAGGCATGTACAAGCAAATTATTGGCGATATATTCTGACTTAAATTTAAAAAAAAAACAACTCAAATTCATTGATACTTGTAACATTGATAATAATTATCTAGTATAAATATACCTTCCATGTAAATAAATATTTTCATCTTAGACATAAAATTTGTTTATTTAAGTTGTATTTGAATTGAACAATTTCATAAAACATTCCTATTCTAAGTATATTGCACCCAAAAATTCATAGTAACTGTAAGTTCCAGGCTATATTATGTTATATATAATAGCTCTTAGTCTAAACAACAGTATGACCATGGTATTGAAATGATATCTGTTATCTCAGCTGTTGGGGAGACGCCTGTAGCCCAGGGGGCTTGTCCACTCTTTGCACTGAAACGAGCTGTGGAGGCTGCCAGGGCAGAGGTCGGAGTAGAAGGATGGTTTCCCTTATGTGAGTTTTCTTAGTGAAGTGCTGAAAAAAACCCAACTCATTTTGTGTTATAGAATAAATAAACTAGCGATTATATCAAAATTTATCAGAACTTAAAAAGTTGATGTTTCTGTTATAAAATATGTACACTTTGTAACAAATGTAAAAAAAAATTTTTTTTAATTTCTCAAGGACAAAATTTTAAAGAAAAAAAAGTAAAAGAAAGATGCCATTGAAAAATAATTTTAATTTAATGAGAGATGGGAAAATAAAAGCTCATATATGATAATATAAGATAATATAAGATTCTTTACTGATTCAAATAAATGGAAATGTTTTCTTTTTTACTATCATAGGACATATTCATTTTTTGCACATTAATAAATACATATCTTTAACCAAGACAACATTTTACCATTATAGCAATTTAAACACAAGTCATCTATATGGAATATAAAGCTTAAAATAGTTTAGTATTTTCAAGTTAATGTAACTGGGAATTCATCATGTTCACAGATGCTCCAGCAACAGTAGAAAAGCTCCAGCAAGCCTGTCTCAACGATGTCTCCCTCTTCACTTTTGGAGAGTAAATGTTCACACAGACTTATTTAAATGATGTCCCCCCTATTCACTTTTGGAGAGTAAATGTTCACACAAAATTATTTCAATGATGTATCCCTCTTCACATTTAAGAGTAAATGTTCACACAGACTTATTTCAACAATGTCTCCCTCTTCAGTTTAGGGGAGTGAACTTTCACAACATAGCCTTATTTCAGTAATGTCTCCCTATTCAAAGTTTTTCACATTATAGGGCCTACATTGCAACCAGTCTGTGGCACTTAAGTATAACAAACATTTTTAAATAACATGAAAGTGATGCCTCTTGCCCTTGCTGTAACATTCAGAACTGTTAACTTAAAAAAAAACATTTTGTAAAATAAATGTATAGCCATTTTGTGATACTCAGATAATTTTCTTGTAGGCCCAAATGTTTATAAGGATATTTAAACAGTTTTGCTGTACTGTAAATTTGGATTGTTGTATGAAGCATCCGGCTCATGTTGAAGTTAATTGGCTTAAAAGAATAAAACCACATGCTTTGTTGTCTTTCATGTATTTTTCATAAGGCTGGGGCATTTAAGGGTCAATCCCTGACAGTAGTATAGAGGTTTAGTACTATGGCTCTGATAATACTTTATATTATATTTTAATCAGATTAATTCTTTAATTCTTCCTATATTTAATTCTGCCCATATTTAAATTATTTTTGTATTTTTATGTGTAGCATTTTAGCATTTTCTTTCAATAAATTGGGTTAACTTTGAAGGGTATTTTTTTTAATTACTATTTTAAATTACATTTCCAATGAACAAAAACGTCTTTGAGATTATCACTTTAAAGTTGCCGATTCCATAAAGTTGTGGTGCCATACCAGACAATTTTATTTCACGCCCCAGATGCAATGTTCCCTCATAAGGTTTGCTGGTTGTGTGCAAAAATCATACAGTTGTGGACAAAGTTTAACAGCATCACTTTTTTAGTGTGCAAAATTTTACAGGCCACAAACATAAACACGCACTACATGGAAATTTGCTGCGCGGATACTCAAAACTGCTGCGCGGCGTCTGTGAGATAGCTGCACGGCCGTGCAGCTTAAAGGGGACATTGCCCTGAAGTATATCAATATTTTAAAGTACCGTTCCATTTTATACATTAGATTTATAATACCATATTTAAATAGAGACAATTTCCGTTTAAAAAAATATATCTATACTCACCAAATGCACTTGTGTTATTTTTAAGAATCTCATTTAGCGCAGTTTTCGGAAATGTTAGTTTTCGGGCTAATGAACTACCATTACACCTTAATTTTCTTTCATACCTAGAGAATTATATGTATTGATTTTAGATATACAATAATATCTATCCAAAAATAAATTATAATTATGAAACCTCTGGAGTTATTTGGTCAACATTTCCTTTTGATATTCTTTTATTTGTTCATGTTTCCAAAATGAAAGTTTCTTTCGCTCATTTCTTTCAAACAATTATGTGTTTATTTTTTGTCTTTTGTCTTTTTTTTTGTATTGTTTAATTTTTTATGTTGTGTATTTAAATTGCTTTGGTTTTTTTAATTGTATTTTGTAATATAACATAATATAATATAATTTTGTATACAATCAACCCTCCCACCATTCCTTCCCCCCCCCCCCCCCCCCCCCATAAAAAATATATAAACATTTTAAAAAATAAATAAATATACAAAATAAATATACAAAATAAATATTTTTTAAAATAAATTAATATCACAAATATTTATGATCAAGAGTGCTTTGTAAGGACTTTTTTAGAGAACGTTTCAATATTGTTTACGGTGACGTAAGTTTTGTGACAAGAGGGGGGGTGGGGGTGCAAAACTTGGTCGGCTTGATAAGTTGTTTATTACAAGAGTCGCCTTAGTGCAAAGCAATTTAAATAAAACCTGCTAATTTGGGGAGTGGGGGGGCCCTACCCAAAATGACGTCCCTGGTATTATATGTTGTTTTGAATTTTGTAGTTTGGAGAAAACATATGGTTTGCCAGGGTTTTCACAAAAAAAAAAAAACGAAAACTAAAACAACGAAAAAAAAAAAAAAGCTTACAAATACTAAATAATTTTAAGATGTTTAGATCCGAAAAAAAAACCAACGTAGTGCTCACATTTAAAAAAAGCCACCATAAAATATGGCGTCCCCCTCCCCCTTAATGTGGAGGGGGGAATTTTGCAGGGCTCGTTTTCTACAGAGCACAAGGAAACTGCGTTCCTGTAATTTTTCCTTAATTGGAATGTCCTTCAGCAATGGTATATGTGGGGCAAGTCGCCACCTACTCTGGCCTCCATTGGATTAGTTTGGCTTACAGGTTGACTTATTTTCCGTGACTTATCTTTATGTTCCTTTATTCGTTTACTAGACGTGTAAACCTCCACGTTATAGACCACAAATTGCTCTTTATAGAAAAATATGTTGCCCTTTATATAACACATGTTGCCATTTATATAACACATGTTGCCCTTTATATAACACATGTTGTTCTTTATATAATACACGTTTCTCTTTATATAACTTATGTTGCACTTATATAATATATATTGTTCTTTATATAATACAATACACGTTGCTCTTTATATAACACATTTTTGGCCTTTATATACTACATGTTGTTCTTTATAGAACACATTTTTCTATTTATATAATACATTTTGCACTTTAAAGAACACGTGTTGCCCTTTATATAACACATGTTGCTCTTTATATAACACATCTTGCTCTTAATATAACACATTTAGCTCTTTATATAACATTTGTTACCCTTTATACAAAACATGTTGCCCTTTATACAAAACATGTTGCACTTTATTTAATACATTTTGCTCTTTATTTAACACATGTTGTTCCTTAAATAATACATGTTGCACATCTTGCACTTTTTATAACCCATGTTGGTCTTTGTATAACACACGTGACTCTTTATATAACACATGTTTCTCTTTATATAATACATGTTGCTCTTTATATAATACATGTTGTTCTTTATTTGCTAAGAATAATAAGTACATATTTATTTTAAAAGTAAGGGGTAAGTTCTTGGCTTGGATGAGTTCCCCTACATTCTTTCCCAGGACTTCTGCTATTTATCTATGCATTCAGAGGCGCCATCTTTGTTCAATGCCCCTATCCCCATAACTTATCCCAATGTTCCTATCAGCTGACGTGGAAATAGTGAGCAGGAAATGGAATATCTCCACATTTAAATGAAAGGCGCTTCACTAATGTTGCACACCAGACTTATTTTACGTTTTCACCGATAAGCACTTTAATTCAAAAATCACAACAAAACTTTCCTCATATTAGCTGAGATTAAAAAAAAATAATTCCAGATGCTTTTGAGATCTGTCAGAAGGTAAAGGCACACACATTTTAAAGACAGGGTTTTATTTTAGTTAAGGACTGCTTTTAATTAAGGCATTAGCCGTGAGCGGTATAAGATGACGTTCTAAGGGAATCTTCATTGGAAATTGCAAGACCTTAGAGTGTAGGCCTACGGATTTTTATCATGCAGTATCATGTTTTATAAATGACTTAAGAAATACGAAGTGGCTATTCGTACCCGGGTACCAGAAGTGATAGGTTAAGATTAAAAAAAAAATATTTAAAATTTTATTGTTGGGTTTGTAAGACAAAATGAGGTATCAAATGAAAGAAACCAGGCACACGCCTTCAATTATCACGCAGTGAACTAGATCTACCCCCCCCCCCATATTTTTTAAAAAAAATAGTGCAAATAAAAAGACAAGGAAAAAAACATTAAGAAAAACACGTTTTCATTAACGGTTCAAATATTATTTTAATTTAAAAAAAAAATATTTAAAATTTTATTGTTGGGTTTGTAAGACAAAATGAGGTATCAAATGAAAGAAACCAGGCACACGCCTTCAATTATCACGCAGTGAACTAGATCTACCCCCCCCCCATATTTTTTAAAAAAAATAGTGCAAATAAAAAGACAAGGAAAAAAACACTAAGAAAAACACGTTTTCATTAACGGTTCAAATATTATTTTAAGTTATGTTATGTGTCCTGTCCCCTCTCCGCGAAGCAGTAACGCTAAACACTAACAGGGGCTTTTCCCGCAGAAATTTAGTATAGAATGGTCTCCGCGAGTTAAACAAAGTCGTACGACGGTATTCACATAGAAAGTTGCATATATTAAATTAATCTAAAAGCTTGATGCAGTAACGGTGATTAAAAAAAAAGGTATTTTTTCTGTATATTTATAATTTGAATTGATTTTAAAAAAAGAAAGCTTTATTGTCTCTTTTTTAATTTTTATTTATAATTAATTAAAACTTATTTAAAAAGAAACATAAATCCCAATGTAAAGTCTCATTTCTTCTTTCCCCAACAATCTTAAGTCCTGTCCATGTGTTTCAGTGGTCGGACAGACACACCCCCAGCGTTGGTCATCTGCAGGCTCGTATTCTGGTTCGTTTTATTTATGGTCTTCCACGGGGCGGTCCTGTACCAGCTGTACCTCGGCGACTTAGGTAAGATGGGCAATGATGTACCAGCTGTGCCTCGGCGACTTAGGTAAGATGGGCAATGATGTACCAGGTTTACCTCGGTGATTTAGGTAAGATGGGCAATGATGAACCAGCTGTACCTCGGCGACTTAGGTAAGATGGGCAATGATGTACCAGCTGTACCTCGGTGACTTCGGTAAGAAGGGCTATGATGTACCAGGTTTACCTCGGCCACTTAGGTAAGATGGGCAATAATGTACCAGGTGTACCTCGGCGACTTAGGTAAGAAGGGCTATGATGTACCAGCTGTACCTCGGTGATTTAGTTAGGATGAGCAATGACCAGGTGTACCAGCTGTACTTTGGTGACTTATGTAAGATGGGTAATGATGTACCAAGTGTACCAGCTGTACTTTGGCGACTTAGGTAAGATAGGCAATAATGTACCAGCTGTACCTTGGTGACTTAGGTAAGAAAGGGCATGATTTACCAGTAATACTTTGGTGACTTGGCTAAGATAGGCAATCATTTACCAGCTGTATTTCGGTGACTGGGATAAGATAGGCAAGAAAAGCTGTACTTTGTCAACCTTGGAAACATAGGCAAATCATGCAACACTGTACATAGTTACATTGTACAACCATTCAACACTGTACATAGTTACATTGTAGAACCATTCAACACTGTACATAGTTACATTGTACAACGATTTTAAACTGTACATAGTTACATTGTAGAACCATTCAACACTGTACATAGTTACATTGTAGAACCATTCAACACTGTAAGTAGTTACATTGTACAAAAATTCAACACTGTACATAGTTACATTGTAGAACCATTCAACACTGTACATAGTTACACTGTACAACCATTCAACACTGTACATAGTTACATTGTAGAACCATTCAACACTGTACATAGTTACATTGTAGAACCATTCAACACTGTACATAGTTACATTGTACAACCATTCAACACTGTACATAGTTACATTGTACAACCATTCAACACTATACATAGTTACATTGTACAACCATTCAACAATGTACATAGTTACATTGTAGAACCATTCAACACTGTACATAGTTACATTGTACAACCATTCAACACTGTAAATAGTTACATTGTACAACCATTCAACACTGTACATAGTTCCATTGTACAACCATTCAACACTGTACATAGTTCCATTGTACAATTATGGAACAAGTGCAGGCCAATAGCAAACAAAATCTTTGTTTGGGGAACTGAAGGTGCAATCTTCTATAGCCAATGACGATGTCGGTACCTTCTGTATGGTTGCGAATAGGTGGTTGGTCAATACTATCTTGGGTTGTCACTACTATCTGGGGTGGTCACTACTATCTGGGGTGGTCACTACTATCTGGGGTGGTCACTACTATCTGGGGTTGTCGCTACTATCTGGGATGGTCACTACTATCTGGGGTGTTTATTACTATCTGGGATGGTCACTACTATCTGGGATGGTCACTACTATCTGGGATTGTCACTACTATTTAGGGTGGTCACTACTATCTGGGGTTGTCACTACTATCTGGGGTTGTCGCTACTATCTGGGATGGTCACTACTATCTGGGGTGGTTATTACTATCTGGGATGGTCACTACTATCTGGGATGGTCACTACTATCTGGGATTGTCACTACTATTTAGGGTGGTCACTACTATCTGGGGTTGTCACTACTATCTGGGGTTGTCGCTACTATCTGTGGGGTGGTCACTACTATCTGGGGTTGTTACTAACTTCTGGGGGTGGTCACTACTATCTGGGGTTGTCACTACTATTTGGGGTGGTCACTACTATCTGGGGTGGTCACTACTATCTGGGGTGGTCACTACTATCTGGGGTGGTCACTACTATCTGGG